AACTCTGAATGGACCTATAACAAGTAAGGAGATTAAATTAGTTTAAAAAAAAAATACAAAGAAAAACCCATGCCTGGTAAATTCTGCCAAAAGTTTATAGAAAAATTAATACCAGTTCTTCACAAACTCTTCCAAAAAAAAAAAAAAAGAGGAAACACTTCTCAATCCCCAAAGTCATCACAAGAAAACAAAGCTACAGTCAGTATCTCTTATAAATATAGGTACAAATATCTTCAACAAAATACTTGCAAACCAAATCCAGAAATATATAAAAAGTACTATACACCATGAACAAATGAGATTTATTTCAGGAATGCGAGGTCAGTTTAACATCCAAAAATCAATCAATGAAATACATCATATTGATAGAATAAAGGAGAAAAACCACACAGTCATCTCGATAGATACAGAAAAACAATTTGACAAAATTTAATACCCTTTCATAATAAAAACACTCAAACTAGGAATAGAAGGGAACTTCCTTAGCCTGATAAAGGACATCTACAAAAACCTCATAGCTAACATACATAACAATGAGAGAATGAATGGTTTCTCCTAATATCAGGAATAAGACAAGGATGTCTATTTTTACCACTTCTATTCAAACTATTGGAGATTCTAGCTAGGGCAGTTAGGCAAGAAGTAAAAGGCATCTGGATTGGAAGGGAAGATATAAAACTATATTTGCAGGTGAAATAATCTTATATATAGAAAATCCTAAAGAATCTACTAAAAGACTATTAGAATTCATAAACAAAGTTAAGCAAGTTTTTAGGATACAGGGTCAATATACAAAATCAATAGTATTTCTACACATTTGCAATGAACAGTCCAAAAATAAAATTAAGAACACAATTCCATGTACGATAGCATCAAAAAGAGAAAAGACATCTTGAAATATTAAATCTTTTCACCAAAGAACATAGCATTTTATCATTATACCAAATGTTACTTCATAATCCTGACTTGAGTACTGTAGTTTTCTCGTTTCTTGTTAAGCTGGTTTTTGGGGAATTAAAAATTTTTTTTTCTATTGTGATATGGACCTTTTCCCACAGCATATTTTAATTTGTAAATCCTGGTATGTAGGAAAGTTAATGGAATTTATTTGACAAGTAGTCACTTTCTCAGTCATTAATTTTAAACAGTTTTTCAGTTGAGTCTTTTGGATTTTTTTTTAAATAGACAAACTATCAACTACTTTTTCTCTTTCAATTTTATAGTTATAATTTGTATTTTCTCTTGCCTTACTGTTTTAAATTACATTTCAGAATAATGTTAAATCATTCTGATGATAGTGAACATCCTATCTCTGTCTGGTGGTTTACCCTGAGTACTGCTTGGTTTTGATTATTGATTTGAGATATGTGTGAATATTATCATCTTAAGGGAATGTCCCCTATTCCTATTTTATTAAGTATTTATTATTAGGACTACATATTGAACTTTATTAACCTCTTTAGCACCTTTCTTTTATTCTCTGGCTACTCCCATGGTTGATCCTTATGCTCCTGGGGTAAAATGTATGTGGTCATATTATGTTAATCTTTTATGTTCCCTGAATTTGATTTTTCTTTAATTGGAATAAAACATAATATAAATTTTACCATTTAACCACTTTTAAGTGTATAATTCAGTGACACTAAATACATTCACATTGTGCAACATCACCACTATTCATTTCTAGAACTTTTTGGTCATTCCAAACAATCTCTGTTTCCATTAAACATTAACTCCTTCTTCCCATTCCACCCCCCAGCTACTAGTAAACAATATTTTACTTTCTTTCTGTATGAATTTGCCTAGTCAAGGTACCTCATGTAAGTGAAATCACTAAGTCTTTGGCCTTTTGTGTCTGGCTTATTCAATCAGCATAATGTTTTTAAGGTTCATCTATGTTGTAGCATGTATCAGAATTTCATTTTTATGGCTGAATAATATTCCACTGTATGTGTATGTCACATTTTGTTTATTCATTGTTTCCACTTTTTGGCTGTTGTGAATACAACCATGAACATTTGTCTGGAGGTATCTTGTTTGAATCACTGCTTTGAATTCTTTTGAATATTTACTTAGGATTAGAATAACTGGATCATATGGTAATTCTGTGTTTATCTTTTTGAGGAACCACCAAACTGTTTTCCATAGTAGCTGCATTATTTGACATTCCTACCGAATTTGCTTTTATACTTTCAGGATTATTGTATCTCTATTCATATTTGAAATTCATTGGTAGTTTTTTCTTGGTGTGTGTGGTGCTGGATTGATTCTATTTGTCCATTATACTAAAACAAGCTTTGACTTTGAACATTCTGCTTTGTTGTCCGTGTTCTGCCACAGATGGTATGATATGATAATTATCTGTTTCTTAAAAGTTAGGGGGAAATGCCTGTCAGTCTTTTGGGGCTTAGTGTCCTTCAGGGATGTAATTCTTTGGTAGCTTTATCCAGTACCTCCTTTGGATATAGGTTTTATTCAATTTTTTCCCCTAAAACTTTGAGTGAATTTTCACCATTTATATTTTCTTAGAAAATGATATGTATTGTTGAATTATAAAATTTTATTAGTTTAGCAAAGTACATGATATTCTCTATTAAAGAAGAAAAATTTTCTTTTGTAGTTATCTCACCTACCTGATCCTTAATTTTCTATATTCTCTTCCTAGCCCCAAACAATCTATTTCTTGCTTTTTCTTGAATAAACAGCTCTTGGATTTCTTAATCAATTTTGCATTTCTTATGTCTAAACTTTTTTCCTCCAGCTTTATTGAAGTATAATAGACAATTAGGTGTTCATATTTACATTGTACAATTCAATGAGGTTTTTTTTTTCAATTATAGTTTGCATACAATAATATATGTTTCAATTTTACAGCATAGTGATTTGAGATCTATATAACTCACGAAGTGGTCATCCCATCTAGTACTCCTCTTCCCCCTTACATATTTTTTACAACATTGCTGATTATTTTCCTTATGCCACTTATTATATCTCCATGACTATTTTATATCTATCCATTTTACTTCTTAGTCCCTTTCCCCTTTTTTACTGTTTCCCCAATCCCCCTCCCATCTAGTATCTCTCAAAATATTCTCTTTATCTATGAGTTTGTTTTTATTTTTTGTTGTTGTTTATTTTGTTCTTTAGATTCCACATGCATGTGAAATCATGTGGTATTTGTCTTTATCTGACTTACTTCATTCAGCACATTACCATCTAGGTCCATCAAGGCAATATCTTTTTCCATCTCCTTCCTTTCAGTCTGTGTGTGTCTTTTAATCTGAAGTGAGTCTCTTGTCGGCAGCATATATAGGGGTCTTGTTTTCTTATCCATTCAGCCACTCTATCTTTTGGTTGGAACACTTAATTCTTTTCCATTTGAGGTACTTGTTGATGGATATGTAGTTATTACCATTCTTCATGTTTCAATACATGTTTTTTCTTCTTAAAGAAGTCCCTCCAACATTTTCTGTAATACTAGCTTGGAGTTGATGAATTCCTTTAGCTTATTTTTGCCTGGGAAGCTCTTTATCTGTCTTTCGACTCTAAATGATAGTTTTGCTGGATAAAGAATTCTTGGTTGTAAATCCTGGGTTTTCATCACATTGAATATTTTGTACCAAGCCCGTCTGGCCTTCCTTTGAGAAATCAGCTGACAGTCTTATGGGAGCTCCCTTTGCAATGCATCTCTATTGCATGTATCAGCAGTTTCAGGTATGTTTTTAAAACCACCTTAAAAATTTTTTTTGAAATAGTCCAGAAATAACTAGTCCCACTAAGATTTTACTTGATATGGTAAGTTAGAATAGTGGTTCCCAAGACTGCACTAGGGGCTTATGAGGGTCCATGAAATCATTTTAGAGTGTCTGTAAGGTCAAAATGATTTTCATAATAATACTAAGATGTTATTTGCCTTTTTCACTCTCATTCTCTCATGGAGCACTATGGAGTCTTCCAGATACTACATGATGTGTATAGTATAGTATAGTATTGCAACAAGATTGAGTGCGAAAACAAATACAAGAATCCATCTGTCTTCTCTTAAGCTGTCTGCCTAAAAGAAATTTGTAAAAATATTAATGCCACTCTTCTCACTAAAAGTTTTTGTATTGGAAAATATAATCACTTTTCATAACAAATGTTAATTATATTAATGTAATGGGTTGTTTATTGTTATTATTAGATTCATGAATAGATATTTTCAAATTTTCTTTGTTTTAACTTCTCTTATGACAAATAGTAATACATATAAACATATAAACAGAAGCTCTTTGGGGTCCTCAATTTTTTCATTATAGAGAGGCCCTTAGTCTAAGACGAAGAATCTCTGGGCTAAGGACATTTTTGAAAGGGGATTGGGAACAGGATGAGGAAGGCTCAGAGCTGGGTAGAGATTAGAAGAGTATCTTGAGACCCTGGGATGATGACCTGGCCTGAGGTGCCTGAAGAAGGGGCCAGGGGCAACAAGGGCAGAAGTGGCAGGACATGCAGTGATGGCCATGCAGTCTTGTTCTCAGTCCCTTGTTCCCTCCCAGGACCTAGTTGGGCAGGTGCTGCTGATGTATGCTCTTTTTTCAAGGACCTAATGGGTAACACATGCCAGTGGCTGCCTTGTAGGAGGGCAATTGATCACAAGGCCCACAGGCAGCCACTCACTCTCTTATGAGATGAAGTTGCAGCCATAGTGTGATATCAGGTTGGGCACTTTCTGAATATCCGATGTCTGTGCTGTGTTTTCATCCCAGGATGAGCATAGGAAATCATCAGGACTGTTTCTTTGGCTTTCAGGAAAAAAATTTTACCTCTACAGTAGTGTTCTAAGATCAAATTAAAAGACTACTTAAAATAATTAACAAAAGCAGGTGTTAGACTATTCTTAATACTGGCAGTTTTCTTGTGGGAAAAGATGTGTGGATCTTAGTGATTTTGATAATATTATTAATAAACTGTAGCAAAATTCATCTATTGCCTTTGACCTGTTAATTGCCTTTCTCTTGCAGGCGAAAGGGCCTGTGGTTCCGACTGAGGAAGATACTTCTCTATGTTTTGGGGTTATACATTGCCATTCCATTTCTCATCAAACTATGTCCTGGGATACAGGCCAAACTGATTTTCTTGAATTTTGGTAAGTGCCATGTGTCCATTTTTTCTTTAATTTTAGTAAGAGTTTATTTTTACAGTGGTTTATATATTTATATACTCACCACCCAGATCAAGAGATAGAACATTTCTTTACCCAGAAAGTTCCCTTGCACCTCCTCCCAGTTAAAGGCTGTTTATAAGGAGTGCATTGCTTTTCGGGGCTGGCATTCGTATACACAGATGACTATTGCTTGGTGGGGGGTTTTCTTTAGGTGAGGTTCACAAAATGGAAAGCCTCCTGAAGCTGTTATATAGGAGATTCTTTGTCAGTTGTGCAGTCTAGAGAGTTAACTGTCTTGGAAAAGATGACCACTTTTAACAAATAGTAATTAGGCCTTTTTCTTTTAAAAAATCTGATTTTCTTTTCACTTAAAAAAGCCTGACATATTTTGGTTTCTGTGGAATTATATACTGGCTTTGTAGGTGTTGTAGTCTCCTTGAGTTATCTTAGACCTCATATATTCCAAAGGTGGGTTTCTTTCTTTTTCGTGCTTTATATTTACTTTTTTACAAGTAGGAGGAGAAAGGCGCAGAAGTATCAAGCATATGAAATAAAAGGTATATGATTCCTGGGAGTATTTCTTTTTTAAGGAGCACCATTTCACACCTACAAGGTGAGGTTAAGAGGGCTGGGAGTATATGTGCGGGTGTTAGCAGTTTGAGGGTAGAACATGGCGCTCTCTAAATGATGGTCTTGGGTACAGGTAGCATTTGAACCGGATGAGGCGATCTCTGTACATGTGCTTTGGCTATGCCGGTTTGAAAAGAGTAGATTTGAACCTTATGTGTTTGGGAGCTTAGAGGCTTGGGAAGCTTGGGCCAATGCTGTGGGGGTAGCAGGGGAGCTGGTAGAGAGGAGGGAGGAGGAAGAGCCTGAAGACCAAGTGGAGGACAGACAAGAGGTGTTCAGATGGTCTGTGGGTGGCACTGGGAGTGGGCGTGTCATAAGGCTCTGAGCCCCTCATCTATAGTTACACAAGTGCTCCCAGCTCTGTAGGTGTCTGGGCATACAAGTTTGGGTTGTTAAGTGTATAATTGATTTATTGACCAAAACTTGGAGGTCACTGGTTAAAAGGTAATTTCTGTTCTAAAGAGGAACAGTAGGAAGAGGAACAACAATTATAAGGTCAATATTTAATATTTCATAAATCCAAAATAAGTTTTTTATTTGGTTTCTTAAATTAACTGTAAAATACATGTAGTATACTAAGAGGCATTTGATTTTTCTAACAGAAACATAACTGAATGCCTAGGAATTTGTCATCTCTAAGTTTTTGCCACTTGTAAGAAGCACAAATTTAAAAATCAAGGGAATTTTGTTTTGTTTTTCTGACATTTATTGTCCCTTAAATGTTCATAGTCATTCCAGCACAGAAGAGAGATTGAGTTTGCATATAAATATGAAGCTTAGGGCTGCAGATTTCCTGAAAGCAGAGAGCTTAGAATTGACCCTGTGTGGCTTTTCCAACTTTGCAGGCCTCCAGGTACCTTGGGCTGATGCCTTTGTGGCAGCTGGTGTGTGTGGCATGCTGCTCTGTGAGGCCTGCTACATGGTGGAGTCCCAGCAAATATTTGAATTAAATTGGCTTTCTTCAGATCAGTTATTTGGGCTACTTTAGACACAGCCCACAGATTTTGCTCTGTTGATTTCCTAATGAAATGGCAGGATGTTCTACAGGAGCATAACTTTGAGTTCTCCTATTCCATCCCCCATGGCACAGAAGAGATGGGCTATGGCTTGGGCAATGGGACCTCCCCGTGCCCTCCAGGGATATGCTGGTCCCTAAATCTTTCTTCCACGTGTTTGCTGCATGGGAGTTGGATCATCTATGACAGTGTTTTTAAAGGAGATATTTAGTTAATTGTCTGTGCCCTCTTTTCCCTGCAGAGGAGATGGCGGTCTTCAGTGCTGCCCTGCAGTGACACGGCAGTTTTGCATCACACTTCTGGGGTGGCATCTCTTTTCTTGTCTCCTCAAGATGTGAATCATGAGCCTGTGGATTTTTTTTTGGACATTAAAGGAAGTGTAACAACCTTTTGGGCCTCAAAACGTGGTTAAAGAATGTATCCTAAAGTTCACAGTAAATCTGTCTGAAACCAGATATATAAATTAGATAAGCTTTAGAAGAAGCTTAGCACCTGTGATTTAAGGCATTATTCTACTTTAAATATATTTTCATACGCAAAAAAAAAAATACATGATCATTCTAAAACCAAAAGATAAACTGTAAGTCCCTGAACGGCAATGAAGAAGAAAGTGAAAATCATTCTGAGTAAATTAAAAAAACTGATCTTTTGTCCGAGTCTTACTAATAAAGATAAACGTTTGTGCTTTTCATTACTTGCGGTAGTTCTTTTGCCCTCAGATATAGAACTATCTCCTGGCGAAAAGGAATGTTTTGGTTCAGAGGCCGGCACAGAACTTCTCCTCTCTGCACATTGCCTTGGGTCTTTTTGGAAATAGGTTAGACATATTAATTATGTAGACATTTGAATTAAAAGCAAAAGGCCAGCCAACTAACCTCAGCAGTTGCCAGAACAATCCTTAAGCCTCCTCTTTCTCCTTCCTTGTAGCAGTTTCTGTTAACCTCTGATAGCTTTCTTTTCTATCCCTTTTCTTCTTATGGAAGCCCCTACAGCCCGCATCATGGAATTGGAATTTGATAAAACCCAGAGAGCCCTCTCAGCCCTCCCCTTGTTGGTACTACACATCATCCAGAGTTTCAGAGTTGTTCCTTGCTCAGTGACTGGGATGAGGTATAGCCCCAGTATTTAAAATCTTCAGGCAATCAGAAAAGCAGTTAAGTAGTTTCAGCCTCTCACAGTATCAAATATTTTCCTGATTGATTAAAGAAAGGATGACAGAGTAGATTGTTTTCATTCATGTATTAATTCACTGAGAATCATTTGTGCAGGATCCTTTCTAAATTATGCCCATTGATGATTGTGGTTGCTTATAATTGGTAGATGTAGCCAGAGGGTAGATAATGCAAACTGGGAAGAAGGAGAAGCCTGAGGTCTAGATCCGTGCAACTGGATGGGCCTTGCTGACCCACTGGCATGGGAGGCCTGTGTATTGCATTCCTGAGTCATACAGTCAAGCTCTGTGTAAAGTGGAACTTGTACTCACAGTGGACTGCCAGTAGGCCATGTGCTCTGTTCCCACTCCAACCCTGTGGATAATGCAGGGGCCCAGAGAGTGGGCTCTAGCCAGCATCCCACAGTCAGTAGGACGAAGGGATATGACTACATGGTAGGTCAGAGGTGCCTGGGCCCACCTGTTCCTAGCCAGCAGGAGTGAGCTGTGTTCCCTCCTGTGACCCCTCTCAGGTCACCCTGGATCTCCTGTATCCCATTTCTTTGCTCTGTGGCATTTCTGCTCACTTACACCATTAGTGGCCAAGTGGTTTCTCTGGCGCCTGCTCTCTGGGGCTGTCTGACCCCAGGACTGACCAGGGGCCTCCCATTAGCTAGAAGGAAAGACTGACTCATGGGTAGCATCTGCAGGACTTGACACATTCACTGCCTCCTTTTTTTTTTACCATTGTTTGTAAAACAGAAATAAAAGTGAACTGGAAGACAACCTTTGTGCAATGAGCCTATCTTGGCATATGGAAACTGGTTTCTCAGTTCCTAGATTTCTGGGGTTTGGATGCTTTCAGGATTAGCTACTAATCTTCATAAACTCTTTTCATGAGTGGAGTCCTCTGAGCTCTGAGATAGTGTGTACATAACTGGCCGCCTTCTCTCCAGACACAGAACCAGCCAAGGCCTAAAAGCTGAGCCAGCAAAAGCCAAGTGCCCTCAGCCCTTCTGTTTGGCACTGGGGCTGAGGAGTAGTGGGTAATTCCAGACTTAAGAGCAGAATTGATTGAGTGAATCTGGGTGTGGGGTTGACAGTGGGCACCAAGTTTGGATATTCAGAGCTTTAATGAGGAAGTCATTTCACTTCACATTTGTCATATGAGGAACAGGCATATCCAGTTAGAGCCTTCACCTTCCATAGTATGGAACAAAGTCACAGAATGGAGACCACAAAAGTAGGTGCCTGTGTCTGAAACAGCACAAGATACAAAAGCCCTTCCCAGTCCTTCTCTGTGGTCAGAAGCCTTCTCAGAGATCTATAGTATAACAGGCCAGAGTAAAATCTGAACTCCATAGCATGGCTACATTTGGTCCCAGGGTGTAATAACAAATACCACAAACTGGTGGACTTAAAACAACAGAAATCTATTTTCTCCCAGTTCTAGAGGCTAGAAGTCTGAAAAGAGTGTCTACAGTGTCATGCTTCCTGGGACTCTGGGTGGGCTCCTTCTTTGCCTCTTCTCAGCTTCTGGTGGTAGCCAGCAATCCATGGTGTTCCTTGGCTTTTGATAAGGATGCCAGTTACATTGGATTGGAGTCTACCTAATGACCTCATTTAAGATTGATTACCTCTGTAAAGATCCTATTTCCAAATAAGATCACATTCTGAGGACTTCAGTGTATTTTTGGAGGTGGGGAGCACAAGTCAACCCATAACAAGGCATTTGATACCAACAAGAATTAGAGCGAGATTACCTTTCTGACTTCCTGTCTGATTAGTCAAGAGTGTAGATCATGGAGTCGGGCTGCCTGGGTGCAAATTCCAGTTCTGTCGCATGTGAGCTGATGATGTAACAAGAACTATGAAAGGGCAGTGATACCAGCCTATTTTAGGGAAGGTACGCAGATTATAGGCAGCACTGTGGGAGGGCACGAACAGCACGGTGCCAGCATGGTGGGTGCACCAGGAAACGCGATGCCACCTCCTTTGCCATTTTTCTTTTGAGAGAAAATAAAGTTTTAAAAATTTAGCCTGTTTCTTGGAGATGAGATGGAATAAAAAGCTGGAGGTACGAACAACAGCCCTAGTGGGAGGATTTGTCTCCGTATGTGGTCTGAAATATTTGCTCAGAGAATTTCGGAGGAAAAAGAGTATGTTCTCAGGAATTGGATATTTCATTTCTTCAGCAAATGTGTACTGAGCCAAGGTGATATTTCAGGAAGTGACAGCTAGATGTGCAGGTATGTAGGGCAGAGAGCTTTCAGGCAGAGAGGGGATAGCAAATGCAAAGGCCCTGGAACAGGATGTTGATGAGTAGCTCAGGAAGGGGACAGGGGTGGGAGATGAGCACACTTGGCTTTTTACACCACATAGATGTTTGAGGTTATTTAATGAAATAATTCTCTTCACCAAAGAAAACTATAAAGATGTGTGTGGCTTCCATATAGAAGGTGGAATCAGCTAGAAGTCAGGACCATACTATTCTTTGGGAGGTGCCATTTTATAAAATGAATACATTCCACCTCAAGGTTTTGAATTTTGGGTTTTAAGTTTTTCAGTTTTCAACTGAATATATCTTCGAATATTATGTTTACCACAAGCAATAAAATTCAGTGATATATAAGGGGAATATTAAGCATCACCCCCCCACACACACACACACACACACACATACATACACACACACTTTTGTTAACAGCCTGGCATGTGTCTTTCTGTATTTCTTTCAAGCCACACATGGATGTTTTTGTTATTGATGTTGATGTTCTTTGCTTGTTTTTTAATAACAGTATGGGATTTTGCAGCCAACACTGTGATCTTATTGCTTCTTACCTGCTCTTCTTACCTACCTGTAATCCTCCGGTCAGTGGATCTCAATCAGTCTCTGTCTGATGACCACAGGATTGTCCATAGTGTGGGTGCACCACAGAACTCTGCCCTATTGACAGATCACTTGTTACATTTAGGGTTCCTGCTGTATTGCTTCACTTAACTGTATTCAGCTCTGGATGGGTTCTGTGGATTCGTCCGCTTCCCTGCACCCATGCCTTATCTTCTGCCATCCTTTCTTCATTAAGTGACAACACTAGTGACAACATTAAGTGACAGAACTTTAGGATCCCACTTAACTGGTGCACACCCACATTCAGTTGATTGTCAAGTCCTGTGGCTGCAGATCCAGAACATACCATCTGTCACCTTTCTCACCATCCCTCCCACCAGCACCCTGGCTCCAGCCTTCAGTCACAGCTTACCTGAGCTGCTTCTAGAGGCCTCACTGGCTCCTTATCTCCAGCCTGTTTCATGGCCAGGCTGATCTTCAAGCCTTTCATGGATCTTTCATTTCTTCATTTGTATCTTTTCACACCATGAACAGCCTTCGGTGGGTCAGTCTCTACTCAGACCTCACCCTTGCTGGAGGATCTGTAGGTATATGACAGTGTCTCAGAGCAGGCTTGCATACAACCTTACCTGAGGCTGGAGGGCCCTGGCACACCTGGAAATATTGTGTTGGAAAGGACTTGGCACTTTTTGAGAGCTTTGCCTCTGCCGTGTGTGTGTGTGTGTGTGTGTGTGTGTCCGTGTGTCCGTGTGTCCGTGTGTCCGTGTGTCTGTCCATCCACCCCCATTAATCCTGGTTTCCATCTCTTTGTCCCCCACAGTGAGGGTTCCCTATTTCATTGACTTGAAAAAACCACAGGATCAAGGTTTGAATCACACCTGCAATTACTACCTCCAGCCAGAGGAAGATATAACCATTGGAGTCTGGTGAGTATTTGGCCAAGTGCCTCATAGCCAAGGTACCCACTTTGTGAACTCTCCAGGAAGCAGGAAGAGCCCTGTTTCACATGGCCAGTGTTGTCCTTGACAGCAGTCTCTGAAACTGTTCCCTGTCCATTTTTATCTTTATTCACTTTATTTCAAAAGCAAAGAGCTCCGCTAAATTCGATCCTAATGGAGCATGATGTGATGGCACCAAACAATTCTGAGGTTTTCAAATAGCCTTGTGAACTAGATTGCTTTTTGTACAAAGCCTTATTTCCAGGGAGAAAGAAAAAGCTAGGAAAAAAAAGAATATAAGCACAGAATTGTGAGCACAGGTTTGAAATATATCATTTCTTTCCAGAGAAAGGAATGTCTAAATGAAAACAGCTTGATTTCTTTTCACATACAGCATTTTTGGCATTTGATAATGGTGGTGTTTGCTATCTTCTTAGTATTTACTTTTCATAGCCTTAAATTTGAATTAAGCTCTGTGACTTCTTTGTCCCTAGAATATGTTTTAATGTTTCCCCCCACCCCCATGAACAAATGGATGTTTTTGAACAACTAAATCAAAATTGATCAACCTTTCTGTGATGTTTTCTTTTTTCTCTCAGAATCACTCTGAATCACTGCCTCTTAATCTAGCTTGGTTTCTTTTTCAGTAGCCATAAAGTCTCTCAAAACCACTGAGTATGTGAGAAGCTTCTAAATGAAATGCTATGAATAGCTTCCCAGTGTAGATTGCGAGGAAGTTTGGGCATTTCTAATAATGGTCCTGGGTAAAGAACATAAAATGAGAAGGAAGATTTTTATTCATAGGAGTTGATGCTTGGGACTCTAGAGTCTTTTGTCATTTTCAATTTGATTTAATTTAGTATTCGCTAACCACTGTGACATGCAGGACACCTTGCGTTTCCATCTTTAGTCAGAAGCTTGACATGTTTTGCTTAGGGCCATTTGGTGGGAATTGGTTGGCCCGCCTGGTACTTAATGAGGGTCTGTGTGCTTTGAAGACATGGGAGTTTAGTCAGTACTTCTTTCATAGCAGTTACCCAAGAAAGTTGTATTTAGTGACAATAATAGCGAGTCTCAAGATAGTGATAGCCATGCTTTGTGCTGGTAGGCATCTGCCCACGTCTGTGTCCTGTGCTGTTGTGAGGATGATGTGGGCCCTTGGGCAGTAGTAGGCTCTGTTCACCAGCTGCCTCCACCTGGCAGGTACCTCATCAGATCCGCCTAACAGCAAAGGCTTGGAGGAAAGCTGAGGGTTTGCTTGGCCATCAGCTTATTCTCAGCTGCTTGTGTGTGAGCATAGTTGTCCACCTGGCAGTAGAGAAGAGAGCCCCGGGATAGGTCCCTACCCCTCTATCTGGGAGCTTCCTGGGCCTTTGTCAAGTGCCCAAAGTTTGGGGTAGGCTGGCTACTGGAAGCACATCAGCCCCCAGTAACTTTAAAATATACCTTCAGTCCCATAGGTTTGTAATTGTAGGAGAGTAATATTTACAGGGATCAGAACCACCCAAAATGTGATCCTCTGGAACAGGTCAGAAAGATACATTAGAACTGAAGTGCCGAAAATTAAGAGCTAGAAAATAAGAAATTGGCCATTTATTGTAGTATTTTAAGGATTATTGCTAATTAATTTAAATAAATTTTACAGAACAACCTTATTAATTCAGAGCCTCGTCGTAGATTAACAGTATTTGGTGTGGCCTGAGTTAAGATTAATGGAGCATCTCTTTGAAGAAGGGTTTGGCAACGTAGACTGAGTCTTCAGCTGTGGAATATGCTGCATGAGCTCACCCACACAGTGGGACGGCCTGTGACACCTCCTCCTGCAGGCATGAGTGACTTACGAGCAGGCTCCAGGGTGACTTACAAGCAGGCTCTGGAATGTGCCCTATATTAGAAATGGTGTCAGGGTGGACAGGCTTCTAGTGCAGCTCACAAAGATCGCTGTTGCTAAATTAGCACATGTGACAGCATAATGCTGTCTTAGGTACGCTGTGGCTTAAATTGTGTGCTGCTTAAAAATATGGGTATGTATAAGAGGAAGTGCTGTTTGCTCAGCTAGTATTTATTAAATGCTCATTCTGTGCTAGTCCAGGTAAAGGCCTGGTGTCTGATCCCTCACAGAGCTTCCAGTTCCTACTGGAGAAATAGCCAGCTCCTACCCCTGGTAACTGCTACCAGTGTAAGCCTCTGTAGCCCAGGGAGGCCCATTTGCAAGGCTGGAAATCTACTTAAGTTGTCAGAGCCATTTCTACAGCTTAACATTCCGTAGTTATTTATTCTGGTAATAGGGATAGTTTGCCTTTCCAGCACACCTGTCCTCCTGCTCTCTGCTCAGTTGTGACTTCAGCTCCACATTTGTTTCTTGGACATCATCATGTGATTGTGCATTTCCTTCTGCTTCTGTTTTCAGGCACACTGTCCCCACTGTCTGGTGGAAGACTGCCCAAGGGAAGGACCAGATGTGGTACGAGGATGCCTTGGCTTCCAGTTACCCTATCATCCTGTACCTGCATGGGAATGCAGGTACCAGGTGAGGAACAAGAGCCCATGTATGGTCTCCCTGCACTGCTATCTCCTTTGTGGGTGGGAGTGACCTAGCCCAGTAGGGTTTACTGACCCTCTGCAATGAGGGAGTGGGCAGGAAGGGGAATAGAGGAAAAGACAAAGTTCCTATGGGGTTTATGGAAAGGAGTTTAAGTAAAACTTACATGAAGCAGTGTTCCCACAGGCTCAGAGCAAAGCCAGGACTGTGTGCAAAGTGGGCCCAGGCCCTGTTTTCTTGGGAACCACCATGTTAAGCAGATGTAGGAAGCTTTGCACAGAAACCCCTTATCTGAAGCTTGTGCTGGGGTAGAATGAAGGAGGCTGCATCTGTCATTGTGACCCAGATCCTTGCCTGAAGGGAGATGTGTCTTTCTTCCTGACTTATTTTAAAAAGCAAAGTGTCTGAGGTCCCATGATTTAGGAAACAGGTTTTCTCAGTGGGTAAGGAAATGGTGGTCCCTCAGAGGAGGGGTCATTGTGACCCTTCAGGGCCACAGCATGCCCCGAGGAAAGTTGTCTCTTGTTCAATAGCAGCATCTGTCAGTCCTGTCCGAGGATTACAAGCTTGTTGGCATGCACTTTCTGGCAGGCGTACCTTGCTGGAGGAGGAAGAGCAATTCCTGGAAAGGGCAGCAAGTGCCGAGAAAGGGCAGGGGTGACATTGAAAGAGGGATGGCTAAAAGCAGAGGGAGGCCAGCAAAGAGACCCCAGCTGAGTGTGCATAGACAGGCTTGTCCTCTGAGGTGGCCCCACCATATTGTCAGGTCAGGGTTATTTGGGTGAGTTCTCTGCTTCCACCTGTAAGCCAGCAGTGCCAGTGCATCTTGCTGGGCCAATGATGAAGCACAACTGTCTATAGCAGGTAAAAACCCTTTCCCGGGTTTATCCCAGGTTCTTTTCAGGAGCGGCTTTGATGGCATGTCCTTCAAACTAATTGAGATTGGAGCTACCATACTTGGTTTAAAGAAGGCTCCTTCCACTCATGTGGTCAGCCTTGCTCAGAAGAGTCTCTGTGAGATAGCCAGCAGAGGCAAAGGAGGAAGTGCATCTTTTGAAGAAAGCATTGCCTGAAATCCCTAGGAAGGTCACTATTGCTGCAGCTGCCATAGGTCATCTGAGAGAGAGTGTGCTAGCAAGGAGCTGGCAGGAGGCAAGGCCACCTCCTGGTACCTTGGCCATGGTGGTGGGCTGGTGGGGTGGTCATTTTATAGGCAGAACCAGCAAGGAGAAAAATGCATGGGCCTTTCTGGAGGGAAAAGCAGGCCACAGTGGATATCTGGGCAGAGGGGCTGCACAGAGGACATGTAGGAAGTTCAGGAAGTATGGCCCAAAAAGATGGTTTCTGAGCCAAGGGTGTAGAGTGCCTAGCTACTGAATCATGTGTGTATTTGGCTGCTTGCTTGCTTCTTTGGGACGTGTTACAGAGGGTTTCTCTTCTCTTTTCAAAGAGCAAGTGACTACAAACAGCTCTGTAGCATTTTTCTATAAATGAGAGGATTGTGTAGGTTACTGTGAATCAGGTTCAGTTAAGCAATGACAATCACATGGTAAAAAAGATAAAATCTGCCTATAACTGTAGGTTTAAAGGAATATTGTGACTTTGAAAGGTTTGCTGCTCCCTCCCACTGCCCCAGAGACTGTCTGTGTTGCAGATCTTGCCAGCCCCTGCTCTTTGTCAAGACTCATGAGGCAACCTGAGATCCAGACCCCTGGGTTACAGTCGCTCTTGTGTTATGCTCTAAATCCTTCTTTTTTCTCAGGGTAGAGAATTTGGAAAATTTAGATAAGACCACCATGAACTCTTTCAAAGATAATGGAAAACATTGTACAATATTTCCTTTTGTATTTCTTTTTATTTTTGTGTCTGCATTATATGGTTCCCTCCTTCATCTCATCCTTGTCTCTCCCAAGGACACTCCCTCCCTCTACCTTACCTCTCCCTACACACACCCGAAATGGCCAAAATGCTCATTATGAAAAAGGAAAACAGCTGAGAAGCCTGAAGAGGGTGATCCTGCCTGCTGACACACTTTCCTGTCCTGAGGTTGCCCTGTCCCTGCTTTGGTGTCTGTCCACAGCAATAGCTGACCAACTGGATAGACAGTGAAAAGGTCCTTGAACAAAGAAGTATGGACACGCGAATCAGTTCAGATATATGAAAGCCTGTTCAGCTTCATTAATAAAATACCCACCAAAACAATAGTCTGTTGGTGAAGGGCTGGGTGATGGCCATTCTCACATATTCTGGGTAAAAGGCGAGGGCCCTCAAGATTATAATTGCACACCTTCAACTAGCAGTTTCATGTATAGGAACATGTCCCACACATGTGGCGCATATATGTTAAAAGACATAACAGGCTGGCCACAGTAGCAAAACTTAAGTCAGCACCAGGTGGGAAAGAGCCAAATGTCCATGAGATGAGCAAAACGATCACTAGTATAAAGGGTGTACTGAGAGCGGGCTGTGATTTATTGAGTGAAAAGTGAGAGGCAGAAGAGGTGTGTGTCACAGGTCCCTTTAGGTGTGTGTCTGCAAATAGAGAAGTGCCTTTGCTTCTGTCTATAGGTGGTCCCTGGAAACTAGGAGACTGAGGGAGGGGTCTGGATGCTGGGGCAGGAATGGGCAGGGCTAGTGTGCTCTGTATCCTCTTGTGTCTTCTGGATTTTGTACTGTATGTATGCATCACATAGTCAAAAATAAAAGCAAAGTAGTAATTAACAAATACCCCTAAAGTGCTAAGAGTGTTCCTTGCTTGGCACAGCAATGCCAGAGGCAAGCTCTGAGCCACTTAGGGTATCCCAAGGAGGAGGTCACCTGTCTACCATCAACCTCCATGTGTGGATTGGGTACTGAGTCTCTAAGGGCCAAGATGCTCCAGTGTTGATCCTAGGCCTGCCTCTTTGAGAAGATGCACTAACACCCATTCTTGTTTCCTTCTCTCTGACAATCTAGAGGAGGTGACCACCGAGTGGAACTTTACAAGGTAGGTGAGGATGGCACACAGTGTATGACAGAGAAAGCAGTATCCACATGGTCTATGATGGGCCAAGCGGTGTCTACACTGTGTATGATGGAGGGAGCAGTGCCTGGGTGTTTCCTGTGTGTTCTTTCCAGGTAGCATGAACAGAAGGAGCCTTCTAATAATTTCGATCCTAAATCATCGTTTTTCTGACACTGTCTCTATGGATGACTCCACCATGGAGTGCTTCCTACAATGCTGCTTCCAGGGATAGTTTCCAAAAGCAGGATGAATGGACATTATGGATTTATGCCAGATATTAGCTGATTACATAAAAGGCATTTGAAATTGTTTGTAAACGTATTATTCATATATAAAAAGAATGGAAAGAACAGAAGGGTCAGGGAGCTAACAGTTTATTCCCAAGTTGCAGGCTCAGGAATTGGGTACCTGTCACATTTAAATCAGATTCCAGGCCCGATGAGTGGAAGCCCAGGAGGTGTCCCCAGAGAAAGGAGGCCGCAGGCAGGTGTGCAGACCTTCCCTTCTGCTTGGTCATCATTGAGTGTTTGTGGCTCAGAGCCTGAAGTGTGCAGTTGCTGCCAGTGTCCGGGACCACTATGCCTGTCTCCCTCTTCCTCCTCTCAAATGAGTATCTGCATTTGCTACAGTGCAGAAGAGGACTTAAGCAGATGTGTAGAAACATCTGTACCGTGAGAGCACTGCTCTGTCGTATACTGAGTGGGCTGTCGTATACTGAGTGGGCTGCTCTGGGCTGTGGAGCTGTTTTGTGTGCGGATTAGATCAAGTCAGGGAAGGGGATGCTCGGAAAACTGTAGGTCCCCTGTTGAGGTTTCTGTTCATGGAATGATTTACACTAGGAGCAGGTGTGGTTCTGGAGGGTGTAGGCTCTGAGAGAGACTAGGAGCTGAAAAGAAATGCAGCAGGCTGCACTTGGGCGGCAGAAGGAGAAAGGAGCACAGGCCAGGCAGTGACTTTGGGTGATGTGGTGATGCAGCTTCCACACATGGCTCTGGGCACACTCCAGCTGAAGAGGGAGACTGTAAGTAGAGATTTAATGAGAGAGATCACCTAGTCTAGAGGGATTTTTTTTTTAATAACACAAAATTAAAGGAAGCTTAAAATCTGAGATAGCTTGCCGTAAGTGTCCTCTGATGTGGGCTCTGCACCTAGAGTCCCTCCTCCTCAGCTGCTGAATGGTCTGCTCCAGATGGGGCCACTTGTGAGCCCCTGAATGCAAAGAGAGATCCCTAGTCTAGAGGGATTTTTTTTTTAATAACACAAAATTAAAGGAAGCTTAAAATCTGAGATAGCTTGCCGTAAGTGTCCTCTGATGTGGGCTCTGCACCTAGAGTCCCTCCTCCTCAGCTGCTGAATGGTCTGCTCCAGATGGGGCCACTTGTGAGCCCCTGAATGCAAAGGCACTCTTCTGAGGCTCTGAGCTGAAGGAGAGGCATCCTGCCCAGAGTGCTGAGACAGAGGACATTGGCTTTTATTAGATCCCATCAGGAATAGGGCAACATGATGACTAGTCTTTATTAAGTTCCCCCTGTGTGCAGGGCATAAAGGCAGAAATCAGGGTGGGTTTAGTAAGGGGCAAGGTGCCCTCTACCGAAAATGAATGGATTTGTTGCCCAGATGTTTATTTTTCACTTTACAGGTGCTGAGTTCCCTTGGTTACCACGTGGTCACTTTTGACTATAGAGGTGAGGGTTCTTTTGGTGCATCTCTGAGCCCTCCCACTCCCTCTAGTTAATGTGCAGTATGCAGGCATCACTCTGAGAAGCCCAGACATGGCTAGCAGGTGCCTGACCTGTGGCAACTGCAAGTGTGTTAAGGTCGTGGATGGGGGCAGAGTCTTTGATAAGTGTCCTGCATGCAGATGCTAGAGGTGTCCCTCTTGTAGGGAGGCACCGGAATCCAGCATGTGCCCTTCGTCAGCAGCATTTTAACTGTGGAAGATTCTGTCTTTTTTCTTTATTGGACTCAGACTTTCCCTGCAGCTAGACACCGGACACATTTGATCCTCAGGAGAGCTTGTCTTGTTGAAGTTATGAAAACAGGAAAAAGAACTGCTGAGAGAGAAGAAAGATTCTTGTTCTTGCCACCTCAGTATTTCTTCTTTCTTACATAAATCAGAGGGCTTCCCATTGAAGAGATAAAGAACCGCAGTTTGATGTAAGCTAAAACATTCTACCTCAGTGAGTCAGAAAAATACTGTGTATTAGCACTGTGCAGTTGTGTGAGAAGTGTGTGCCTCCACAGTCCTCAGTTGGAGAGAGCAAAGGCTGAAGGCCGCCTGGCTGGCTTACCTTGACCTTGGAGGGCAGTGGTATCCATATCCTCAGACTGGATATTGTGTTACTTTCCTCTTGTTGCTGTAACAAATTACCACAAATTTAATGTCTTGAAATAACACAAATTTATTATCTTGCAGTTTTAAAAGTCAGAAGTCCAAAATCTTGAGTCACTGGGCTAAAATCAAAATGTTAGCAGGGTTGATTCCTTCAGGAAGTTCCGTGGGATAAACTAGTTCCTTGCCTTTTCCAGCTTCTTGAGGCTGCCTTTACTCCTTGGCTCTTGGCCCCTTGCATCTGCTTCACTGACCTTGACTTTTGTCTTTCTCTCTCACCTATAAAGGCCCTTGTCTTTACTTTGGGCCCACACTGATAAGCCAGGATACTCTCCCATCTCAAGGTGAGCTCATTTGCAGCATCACTTCCTTCTGCAACCACTATTCACAGGTTCTAGGGATAAGGATAAGGACCTGGACCTCTTTGCTGGCCATTATTCTGCTTACTATAGGAATGATTCTTCCATGGAAGACTCTTCCATCAGGATGAAAGTTCTGGGTTGGGGAAAACTCTGAAATGAGGTTCTGGCAAGTAGTTTATCTATTCATGTATTTCTCCATGCTAAAAAGTTTTTCTGTTCCTACTGCACGCTAGAGCCCTCAGGATAATGAGAAGGGACAGCTTTCTTCCTTGTTCACCTCCCTGTGCTTCTACCAAGAAATGAAATCCAGTATAGCACTTCCTCTTTTCAGTTGTTATTGAGTCTCTGCATTTCTAAGCCCTGTAAGAGACAGAAGTTCTGCCTCTTCTGCCTCTGTGTGTGTGTGTGTCTGTCTGTCTGTCTCTCTGTCCCTCCATGTCTCTGTGTCCCTGCCTCCCACTCGTGCCCCGAGCCTCTCAGTCTGGCCTTGTCTCTTGCAGGACTCCTTTCCTAATCTGGGATGCTCAGGGGAGGTGGCTTATTGTGCCCACTAACTCTGAGTTTTTGCTTATGCAGCAGAACCTGCTCTTTTTCAGCCTGTGGTGCTTTCAGATCACTTGATGATGACTCACTGCTGAGCTGCTCAAAATGACTAGGGCACTTGACCTTTCCTGGAGACTGGGTGGAAGGGCCCTTGGAGAGGACACAGTGTGAGGGCAGTGATGTTTAGCTTTCTTCTGTTAGGCAAACAGGATGCTTAGAGCCCCTTCACTTTCTGGGTCAGAGTTCCCTGGCATCTGGAATTCTACCCACCCACTCTGTCACCCACCCTGTTTCCCAGAGCCTTGCTTCCTGACTCCCTGTGCCTTTCTGTAGCTAGGCCACAGCTGGAGTCTAGACTGGGCTCGGGGCCCTTCATCCTGGGCCAGCCACTAGCAAACCCCCAGTGTTGAGTAGGTTGATGTCCCAGCAACACTTCCCCCTTCTGCACTGCTGCTCATCTGGGGAGGTCCTGTGATGGCCTTTGTGTTTGGGGATTATAATTGGATGAGGAGGTAGAAGAAGCAGGAGCAGACTTGTTGGGACACCCTGTGCATGGAGCTGTGGATGGTGATGGTGGTGATTGCAGAGACTTGTATTGCTTCTGAGGGCCTGGGCCTATCTGTCGAAAAGGAGAGTAGGGGTGGGCCTCCCCCTCAAGAGGTTCCATGAACTGGGCTTGACTTCCTCCTCTTTTGCTTCCCTCCCTTAGGTTGGGGTGACTCAATAGGCACGCCATCAGAGCGGGGCATGACCTATGATGCACTCCATGTTTTTGACTGGATTAAAGCGAGAAGTGGAGACAACCCCGTGTATATTTGGGGCCACTCCCTAGGCACTGGGTAAGAGTTCCCAGCATGACTTGGCCTTTGGGGGAGTAGGTTTTCATGGGGCAACTTTCCATCCTGGGCTTTCTGAGGGTACCCTGATGGCCTCTGGATCCTGTGGCACTATTAATTCCAACAAGCCTTGTCTCCAGTCTCTACATAGGGGCAGGGGATGAAGTACCACTAGAGCCCAAAAAGGGTCTGAACTACTTTAACTCCTCAACTGAAGAAGTCACTTGAGACACACATAGGCAGCTGTGGAGATGACCTCCCCCTCTACAGGGAGGATGGGCAGACTCTCCTCAGCCCAAGATTGTACCCCTGGGGAGACATCTTCAAAGCATACCAGATGGGGTTCAAGTTCAAGATGTACCTGGGCTTACACATCCCTTGTTTTGGGGCTGCATGTGCTGTCCAGCAAGTCCCAGTGCCAGGGCTCTGATCACTGCAAACCAGGGACATTTGTAAAAACTAGGCCACATAAGCCTATACTTGGCTTACCAGAGAACTTGGGGAAGGCAGCAATGCCAAGACAGGAAGCACTTTAATGTTTCATTTGGGACCATCTGAATTGCTTCTGCTGATATGAGACCAGAGTATTTCTAAAAAGAACTGCTGATGTCAGTGCCTAGAGCCCCAAGACCCTCAGCTGCCTTGCCCTTTCCTGCTGCTCTTCCTTTAAGTATAGTGACTGTATCCCCTTTCTCCTGTTGCTGCTCAGCTTGCATCATATGCTACAGTTGGGCTGCGGACTGCAGACTAGGCATTGTCTGGGACAGGGACTCTTGGCCCACCCATGTGGAGAGAGTGAACCTTGTGCCCTTGGAGAGAGGTGCCTTGGATGAAGAGGAGTAGGCCATCCTGCCATGGCTGTCCACATAGGACCCCCAGTGTGGTCTTGAGACACTCCACCTATTCCCCTTGCCCGCCCCCCCCCACCCCACCCACACTGCACCCAGGCCTGACGGACCCCACATTCTACCTCCTCCCGGAATTGTGCAGAT